TCTTTACACAACTTCTCCTAGAAATGATTGGATTTCAAGTTATGATTTTGTGAATACATGTTCATGAAAGTTGGAAACTTAGTGAAAGTTTGCCCTAGTTTAGGCAGGATTTTGACCTAACTTCATGACAATTTTTCACATAGTTCCAAGGGGAATTTTCAAAAGTGATTCAAAGAGGGGTTGTAGAGTACATTACAAGCTTTCTAAAATGTCTAAGAACTCCTTGAGATCATGTTTGAGCAAGGATAATCGAAGGCATGAAGTTGGCATTTCATTCTTGAATTATAGGTCAATTTCATGATGAACAAGAATGCAAATCCATGCTAGGCTGCACAATCTTTGCTTTGCAGGCCTCAAAATTGTTTGGCACTCCATAATTAAATGTTTGCACAGCTGTTAGAGGCTTCAACTCAAGCATTCAATATATTGCCCATGCTTAATACCATTTTAGGAAGAAAGTGCACATTGCCATTTTGGAAAAGTAGCTTTTTGCACAAAATCAATTCTTGAGCTTTGCAATTGTTTTCTTCTGATACTACACAACCTATAACCCAAAAGAAACTTGTATAAAGCCTCTTGGAACTCAGGTCATACTTGTACTATGCCTTGAAACCATATTCCCACTTTTCTTCAAAATCAAGTAACATAGCCATAAGTCTATAGCTTGCACTTCTGACCCTCTCAAGTTCTACAACCATTTCCTTACTTATGCACAAGTTGTTTGCATCAAAACACGCGAATAGACAAGTTCCAAAACACACAAAAACTCAGAACTGTATCATAAAACTCCATTATTGCATAATCTGACCAAAAACTTGAAACTCACATCTCCCTCGTGCGTTTCCAAGCCTTTTGGTTCATAAAGCTTCTAAACATCAAATACAAACCATCCAAAGTCCTTTTGCCTAACTGTAACACCTCCATCATGAAGTTCCATTTTTAAAAATAGAGCTTTGCAAGTGGACTTCTCCAGAACTCCTCAGCCACTCTCAGCTCAAACCAAGCATCACATTAGCTTCCTGGGAACTTGAGGAAGCTAACCCAATCACTGGAACTCATCAAAAGATGTTCAAACTCAAAACTTGATACCCTCTTGCAAGGTGAGTTTTCTGACTTTTGAACTATTCATATAGGCATTATTAGGCTTTCATTTTCAAAGATAAAGTGTAGACCTCATTGCCACGAAGCTGTACATATCCATAGTTTGCATTTATATGATTTGAGCTTAGAGAATTTTAGAGTTGAAGTTTCTAAATTTTTTAGGTTTCAGATTAGGGCCAATAAAATTCATGCTTGTCTTTGATCTATAGTTTTAATGTTTTACATTTCTGAAATTGTGAGGAAATTTGCCACAAGTTTCATGTTTATATTTTTGGAAATGGTTGAGGAATGAGCAAGTTACAGATCCTTTGGCTGGAGGTTGAAGATGAAGTACAATCAGGGCAAGTTTTATGTTATGTATTTATTTTTGTGCCAATGTTAACGGATGTATCACCACCCCAGTGATTAAAGCGCGCGTCTGTCACCCATTGGACATGAGTTCGAGCCCCAACGTCCGTTTTACCATTTTTTTATACATATTTTCTGTTTTCCTTGTTTTTTGCTTGAACAAGTGGGGCCTCCAATTTGGGCCTGATGTTTTTTTTCTTCTTTTACTAACCCCTGACTTACTTCAGCACCCCCTGGCCCAATTTTATTTTTATTTCTTTTTTCTTTTTTTTCTTTTATTATTATTATTAGTATTATTTTTTATTGTTATTAATAAAAATCTAAAAATATTTTATTTATTACTTTTAACACTTATTTAGTTTATTTGTTTTATAAACTAAAAGAACAAAAACATTTCTTAATAAATTATTTTCTTTCTTAATAATTAATATTTAGGTTTAATTATTATATCATTTTCTTGTAAATTAAAATTAATTTAGAACTTAGATTTATTTTAATTAATTATTTTTCCTACTATTTCTATTATTTAAAACCTTTTCATAAAAAAAATTCTAGAAAAACATTTTAAACTTTTTTTTCTTTGTTAATTAATTTAGGTTTTAATTTTAGTTAATTTTTAATTAATCATTTCTAAAATTAGATCAAGACTAAACCCCTTTCATAAAAAACCAAACAAAAATCATATTTCTTTTTTCATTTGTATTCTTGCATTTTTATTTTCAATTTTGTACAATATTCAATATGGTTGTAATAATTATTTAGATTTAATTTTCTTGCAATTTCCTTATTTGTTAATTTTTACACCCCTCCCCTAATGATGTAATGACTTAGTATTTTTATTTTCCGCAATTTAATGCTTTATATATAAAATGCTAGTAAATTAAGGTTTGTATGAGAAGATAAAATCAATGTTTAGAAAATCTTAATTCAAGACAAAACAATGCATGTAAACCAACACACTTGCACACTTACACCTTTAGGGTAAATCCACTTTGTTGTCTTATGAAAAATGGCCATGTTACGCATGTGGGAAATCTTAGCAAAAACAAATCAAAATACAAGATCATAGTCCCTCGATGACGCTATCAATGTTGCCTTTCAAAATGATCTTAGTCCCTAAAGAAAATGCTAAGATATCTCATAACATTGCTATCATGGCTATACGATGACCCATGTCCGTCCCTTTTACATCCAAAGATAGAGTTACTTACCAAATCAATGGTAAGATAACAATATCAAAGGAAACAGAAAATAAACAAGAAAAACTTTTGAGTAGGTAGAATGTTCCTAGTTGCTTGCTCATTTTCAAACCAAAACATCCTTGCTATTTTCAAAACAAACACCAACACTTTTCAAAACATCTTTCAAACTTGAAACATTTTTAAAAGATAAACACTTTGTACGCGTTCTTACAGAAACGAGAGCTATTACAAAAACACCTTTTCAAAATCACTTTCAAAAACACCTTCCACAAACACCTCTTTGAACTACTTTCGAAACAACACTTTGTACGCGTTCTTATAGAAACGAGAACCATTACAAAGACATTTTCAAAATACTTTCAAAAACCATACAAAACATATTTTCAAACAAAAGCAAGTGATCTCTCAAGCAACTAAGAGTCTGTAGATAACTACGGATGAAAAGGGTGTTAATACCTTCCCTTTTCATAATCCACTCTCCGAACTCAAGAAAACATTCTCAAAGGTCTTTCCTGTTCTTTTCAACCTTTCCTTTTGGATAAAAGAAATGTCGGTGACGACTCTTGCTAACCGTAACATTTGCGATCAAACGCAAAACAATCAAGTCAGTTCTCCCACCGCGTTACACATACAGTTTTTCAAGTCTTTACATTTTCTTTGGAATTTATCTTTCTATTTTCTCTCTTTCTTTGTCTATAAATAATATTTCGTTTTGGTGCTTTTGAGTAAAATGTTACTTGTGAGAAAGAATTTGTAACTGGACGTGTTGTTGTTTTAATTCTTGAGAGTGTGATACTCTTAAGAAATTAAGTTTAGTTCATGAAATAAATCAGTCATAAAACCTCTGATTGTTATTGAGATAAGCCTACTAATCTTTAAACAATTCGTTAATTTAGTCTAGAGCAAAAGTTATATTTGATTGAGAATAAGCTTGTAAAATCTCAAAATCAAATTGTATTAAGATTCGTGGGTATAACATGTAAAATCTCAAAATTTATAGTCAAAATCTCAAAAAGATCTCTTGGAGACAAAAATAAGTCAACAGTTGAGAAAACATAGATAAACATCTAATACAATCTCTCTAAATCTCTAACTCTTATCTTTTTTATTTTCTACTATTTATTGTCTTAATTTCTACTTTTATATATATATATATATATATATATATATATATATATTATCAAGATGTACTCCAACACTTGATTTTCATATAATTTATAACTAATTATTTTCAAATTCCCTTGCAGGCCAATCAAAATCATGAACCAACTTAAATTATTTAAAAATATTCCTTTATAAGGTTGGCAAATCCAAATCAACACCAGCTGGAAGAACAAAAACACTGATAATATGGCATGTTTTATGGAATAAATATAAAAACAGTTAAAAATTCAATGATGGTGACCAACATCAATTCTAGTTATTCTTTATTTCTGTTAATATTTAATTAGTTTTGCTAGCTTACAATTAAAGTCTTAAACAATCCATATTTAGTTTTTAAGTTGTCAAGACAACAAATCATATTTTATTATTCATAAAATTTTAACCATTTAACAAAAATAAATATTAATTTTCATACTAATTAAATATTAAATATATGAAACAAAAGAAGAAGAAAAAAGAACCATGGTGACTCATGAACACTATGTCAAGAATTAAACTCAACATTTGAAATCAAACAATTGAATCCCTAAAACCAAAATTACCATGATATGTCCCACAACATAGATCTAACACAACATGAGAACATGACAGAGTAAAAGGTTTCTTTCCAGACACAGCAACAATGAAAAAAAAGAAAATTTAGAATAGTTTTATCATTATTGTTGTCATCATGATAGTTGTATTCTATCCTTTTCTTTCGTTCCTTTTTCTTTCTCTTTCTCTTTCTCTTCTTTTCGTGCCGCCCCACACTCTCTCTTTTGTCAATGCCATAACACGTTCACCTCCTTTTCCCTCTTAAACCAAACCTAACAAGAATTCCCAAATACCCTAATTGATTATAGCCGGTAAGTCATTTTTCTCAAGAAAAAATTATTCTTTTTTTCATATTCGTTTACCCTTTATCCCCTATTTGATTATACTGTGATCAATTCATCATTTCCCTAAAAAAATTGTTTTTCTGTTTTCAGGGATTGGATTGATCATTGTGGTTTTGTTGTGATTCATTGGCGGTGAGGTAAATTTAAGCTTAATTTTTTTGATACATTTCTCAACTTTCTTATTTTAGCTTTTCTTTCCTTTTATGAGAACTGTTGGATCTTATTTGGGATACCCTTTTGTTTGTTTATGTTTTGATGAATCAAAAACAGGTTTTTAACTTAAGGAGAGTTATCAAAAGAGAGGGAGATGGGATCAGCGATTGAAATTGGAATCAAAATTAGGAAACTTGTTTTCATTTCAATCAGAAGGGTTTATAGATCAGCTTGCCATCATCCATTTCTTCTGGGATTCTTAGGTTTCTTGCTTTTTTTGTATAGATATTTTCCTTTTCTGTTTTCTTTTTTGGTTTCTGCATCTCCTGTTTTGGTTTGTACTGCTCTTCTACTTGGAACCCTTCTCAGTTTCGGGCAGCCGAATCTACCTGAGTTTGAAGAAAAGGAAGAGAGAGTTACTCATGGTATTTCGTCTTTTCAAACTGGGTTTTCGGAGGGTGAAACTGTTGTTTCTGATAGAGATGAGAGCTATTTTGTGAAAGGATATTCAGAACTTAGGAGTGATGTTGAAGAGAGTGGCATTGGTGAAGCAAGTGTGGCGGGTGAGAAAGATGATAGAACTGAGAAGGATCGTGGTTTGCTTTATGAGTCCGCGCTGGATCACGATAACTTGTTGGATGTTCAGCCTGAGAATCAAGTAAAAGAGGATGTCGAAAGGGGATTCCGTAGTTTTGAGTTGGGGAAGAGCAATGAAGTTCGTGATGGGAACCTCACGTCTGAAGTTGTTTCGAGTGATGATGAAGCTATTGAGAAACAGTATGTGATGGTTCAAAAAGAAGATGACGATGTTTTTGAATTTGAGAATGGGAAAGTTCCGGGAGGCGAGTTTGTTTCTTTTAAGGAAGGTGATGCGGATTGTTCGCCCAGTTCATCTTGGAAACAGGTGGAGAACAACTCTGATGAGGACGACGATTCTGAGGATTCAGGGTCTGATGGGGCAGAGAGTTCTTCGCCAGATGCTTCCATGGCTGATATCATTCCGATGCTTGATGAGCTCCACCCACTTTTAGACTTAGATGCCCCACAACCTGCTCATTTGTCCCGTGATGGTTCTGATGCTGCATCTGAGAAATCTCAGAAAAGTAGTGATCATGATGATGATGATGATGATGATGATGATGATGATGATCACAGTGTTGAATCGGATGATGATCACAGTGTTGAATCAGATGAAGAAGTTGAAAAACATGGTGAAGCAGAAGATGGTGTTGACGAAGAGGAAGAAGAAATGGAGGGTGGCAAAGAGGATGAAAGTAAATCTGCTATCAAGTGGACAGAGGACGACCAAAAGAATCTTATGGATCTGGGAACTTTGGAGCTTGAAAGGAACCGACGGTTGGAGAATCTTATTGCCAGGAGAATGGCAAGGAGATTGATGACTGAAAAGAATCTAATAGACTTAGATAGTGCCGATATTCCTTATAATGTTGCGCCTATTTCTGTTAGACGCAACCCTTTTGATTTCCCTGATGAATCCTATGCTACCATGGGACTACCTCCCATTCCTGGATCCGCTCCATCAATTCTACAGCCTAGACGAAACCCTTTTGACATTCCGTATGACCCAAATGAAGAAAAACCTGATCTTAAACGGGATAGTTTTCAACAAGAGTTCACACATTTTAACCAAAAAGATGCAGTATTTCGGAGGCATGAAAGTTTCAACGTAGGACCATCAGTATTTGGGATATCCAAGCAAGAGAGGCATGATCTTAGTTGGAAGCCTGTCTTTATATCTGAAAGGATGGCTACAGAGGGTACAAGCTATTTCCAGAGGCAATCTAGTGAAGTAAGTGATTCAAAGTTGAGTTCTGTTCCAGATACTGAATCAGTGAGTTCAGGTGATCAGGACGAAAGGAAACTGAGTGAACCAGACTTGTCTCCAGAGGCTGAATTAACATCTAACATGGATCACTTTTTTAACGAGACTGGTCATGGAAGCGCATCCTCTGAAGAAAATGAATCCGTGGAGATGATACAAGCTGAAGAGAGCAATGTTTTCCATGAAGAAAATGAAATAGTGCTCGGTGGGGTGGAAGATCCCTCTGAGATGGAATTTCATCCTGTAACAGGAGAGGTTGAAACCGATGAGCAATTCTATGATGGAGAAACACGTTTGAGAAGAGAACCGAGTGTTGAGGTGAGCAGCAGCAGATCAAGCCAGTCTTCCCGATCAGAAGTGATTGACGACATATCTGATGATTATTCAGAAAAAACTGCAGATTTGCAGCATGAAGATGATCACGTCCCAGAATCGAGAATTTCAACCCAAATTTCAGTAGAGGAATCGAGAATTTCAACCCAATCTTCAGTGGAGGCATCGAGAATTTCAACCCAGACTTCAGTGGAGGAATCAAACTTCCAGCATATAAGTCGTGAGGTGGAAGACACCGTACTAGTAGAACCAGTTTATGATTCTAGTCCACCCGCAGCAGAAAAGCTCATATCTTTTTCTTCCGTGTCTTCTGATTCAGCAGCAGAGATTTCTGAGACAGTACTGCCTCCTGTTTCAGTCGATACTACTGCTGCTGTGGCTGATAAAGAATCCGAGGCACATGACAGACTGGATAATAATTCTTCTGGTCATGAGAAAACTCAAGCAGCCTCTTCTGAACTGCATGCGGAAGTCGAACATGAAATGAGGTCCGAGAAATCTGAAGATATAGATCAGCACAATGTTGCTGCAGAGGAGTCATCTGCAGTTATACAAAATTCTGCTGATCAAAATGGTTCAACAGTGGCTGAGTTTGTGGATTCAAAATTTTCTTCGGATCTTGGATCAGAAAAGGGTGTAACTGATTCAGGCATGGTTCGTGAACAGAATATAGAAAACATATTTTCTAATTCTGAAATGCTTCGTCAAGACAGTTTAGAATCTCTAGATTCAAACTATCAACTGGCTTCTTCTGAAAAGTTACATCCTATAAATAATGAGTCTGCGGAGGAAGATGCACTGCTGAATGAAATATCAAGACAAGATAATGAAGTTATGTCTGTTCCAGTCCAAGACGGCAATGAAGTTCTGGATTCGGTGGCTTCTGATGCCCACCATATACCTTCTAATAATTCATCTATGCATGAGGCAGGGGATTCACAGTTCTCACTGGTAGAAACGGAGCATTTAGAGAAAAATTGGTCAAATGAGGAACACATACTTCCAATTGAACAAGTTAATGTCTTTTTGTCAAGTTCAGTGGAGCAAGGTAACACGGATATCCACCAAGATTTGGATAACAATATGGTTTCTTTCACTTCTGATAGCCAACATGAAGTTGTTGTCAAGTCTCCCCCCGACTTGGAGTATCATCTGTCAAGCTCTGATAAATTGGTGGATGCACAATCTTCCATTGATCATGATGAAAATCAAGTAAGTCAAATTACTCATCCCTTGAAATTCTTTTGCTTTAGTTTCCATATATATACACACACATACACGGCTTTAAATGTTTTGCTAGATAGAATTATTTTCCTATTCAATTTTAACACCAGGAATTGTAGTTTTTCCTCCTACTAGTATTATTCTTGTTGAAGTTATGAGTTTTAGATGAAAGAATGAGAAAAGTGAAAAATATATATATAATCATGGTGAAATATGATTGATACTAACTTGATACAAAAGACTAAACATGAACTTCTATTTATAAATGTAGAAAAATAACATCCGATATATTTTTAAATTATAAATAATGTACAATCACTAATTTATCTAAATAGGTTATTCTAAATCTAATGGATGATATGAATAATGGACTAATGGGCCGAATACAAATGACTACTAATAATTACAAAAATACATTATTTACACCATTCCCGCCTCAAACTGGTGAATAAATATCTATCCTTCTCAACTTGGAAACAATCATTTCTGATAGAATTAGAGTTTGGTTTGCCTATCATCACAACATATTTTATAGGGTTGAGTTTGGTTTGCCCACATATTCTTAAGGTGGTATCAGAGCCTATCCTAGATCACTTGTTGAGCTTCCTGCATCGTCCACGCTTCAGGCTCATTGAAACCTTAGCGTGAGGGTGTGTGTTGGAAATTTCGCCTTCATTACGGTCTGACCCTAGTCGCCTAATTGCAGCATTTGACTTGCCTTCATTGCAGTCTCTAACACTTGCAGTCTCTAACACCTTCATTGTGTTGTATGAGAGTCTAATTCATCCCTACAAAACTGTCTCGTAATGTGAGAGTTGTCCAAGCTTTATAAACACTACACAAACCATATCTCTATGAAATGTGAGACTAAATCCACCCCTTCAAACCCAACATAATGAAGGCAAGTCAAATGCCGCAATTAGACAACTAGGGGTGGATCACATTAAATGCGGAATTTCCAACACATCCCCTCACACTCAGTCTCAATGAGCTTGAAGCATGGACAATGCGGGAAGCCGGAAGCCCAACAAGTGATCTAGGATAGGCTCTATACCATCTTAGAATTTGAACCGAGCCTAACTCATCCCTACAAAAGCAATTTGTAAGGGAAAGATTTCCCCCAGTTATAAACACAACACATGCCAAATCTCTAAATAATGTCAAATTTGAGACTAAATCCACCCCTTCAAACCCAACACAATGTAAGCGTTGGCAGCTGCAATGAAGGCAACACAAATGCCGCAATTAGGCAACTAAGGGCAGACCGCAATAGTTCCATACGAATCCTTTTTTATCCATCATATTTCATCCCAACATCCTTTAAAAAATACTTAGCATATGACTAGTTCACTTCTATTGCACAAGTAGATAGGATTGTTGCTTATAAAAGCAGTAATTGTTCAAAATATGTTTTCTTTGAGATTATTTCTGCATGCACATGATTGAAACGCATGAATAATTTATTTTTTCATTTTGATCTGTTTTCAACTAATGCTTGTAACAGCTCTGCTGGCATTGCATTTGTTTGGTGTAAGGTGAAGTTATTGATCTAATACTGTATGCTAAAATAATTGATTATAAGTTCTTTGACATTCTACAGAGTTCCGATGATATTAAGGTAGAACCTTCACTAGATACTGACACTTCAAATTATGGTGTTGGAGAATCGCACGACGACTTAGATGCAACTTCTGTTTTTGTGTCTTCTGCAACTTCTGTTAATTCTGATACACCTGAATTCCGTTCACCCACTAGCGAAGCGCATTTGGAAGTTTATAAGCAACGCGGGGAAATTGCAAATGAAGACCAAAATGAAGCTCAACAGAACTTAGTTCCTTCGGCAGAGGGCTTCATGTCTCCGAACAATGAAGAAAATATCAATGAATTTGATTATATGAATGAAATTGATGAGGAATTCTTGTCAGAATTGGACACCGTTGGGGATTTTAGTGTCGGTGATGCTGATGTATTGCATCATACTGAAACTGTACATGATGAAACTAGAGATGCTCAACATAGTTCACTGCCGGAGGATGTAAAGACAGCAGAGGTTGAGCAGGTCAATGACATACCAGTTCTTGAAGCAAGATCGCTTGAAGATATTGACATAGCTTTTAAGCAACTTCAAGAAGGAGTTGATGTTAATGATGTCATCCTGCCAAGTATGATAAAAGATCAGCTTGGTAGTGAAGAATGTAAAGATCGTGTTGAAGTAAATTCAGACCTTCAAGTTATTGAAGCCAGATCCCTGGAAGATATCGATGTTGCTATAGAAGAAATCTCCAAAGGTAATCAAGGGGAGCTTCCAGAAAAATTGGATGCAGAAGAGGCTTCAATCAAAATAGAAGCAAATGAAGTTGGCTCGGCAAAGTTGAATGAGCAGAAAACGGATGTATCAACCAACACTGAAGAAATGAGCTGAACTACTGTTGATAAATCGGAAAATATATCCAGTAGCAGTTCTAGTAATTAAGAAAAATCACACAGTAAGAAATCTAGTTCCAGTTTGAGCTCTAGCGATTCTGATTGATATCGAGAGTTTATTTTGAGGGGGATGGAAGAGTATTGAGTTTGTTATTTATGTTTTTTTCTTTGGTGGTGGGAATTTGAGTTTGTAGCCTCGGCAGCGACATGTCTTGGCTAATGGTAGTGAGGTCAAATTTCTATACTTTTGATGGATTGGTTTCTTCAAGAATGAGTTTTGGTTTTATTTCTTGAATCGTGCAGTTTTCTGGTATAGTTTTACCCTTCAGTGTGAGCAATTTGGTATATGTATAGGGTTATGAGAGCTTATTTCCAACAGTGTTGCCCATTGTGTAGTCCAAAAGAAATTGAATTTTTGTACATTATAATTTGATTGTAGAAATGGAGATTGAACATGTTTGTGTATATATCAAGCAGTTGTTTCCGCTTTATTTTTTCTACTTTTTGTATTCTTTTACATAATGACTGTTTAGTGCATTAAGCGCCAGAAAATGTAGAGAAAGCATTGTATACACATCTTCACTTGTACAAAACTTGAGATAGAGAAACTGTTTACAACTAGCTGGAAGTTTACTTCAATGTCATCCATAAAAAAAATGGAATTACGAAGTATGTCAGGGCTATGTTCTTATTTTACTAGCTCTGTTTTTCACTTTTGTCGTCTAAAAGTATGAGATACTGTCTTAATATTTCTAAGTATTCCTAACTTATGAGCCATTACCAGAAAGTTACTTCTTTTGCTTCTTGTTTGATGGCCTGGAAGTAGTCCCAACCTGCAGTTCAAACGCATACGTGAGTGACACAAATAAATAAAAATTTTAGAGGCTGTCGTCTGCGTCATAAAAGAACGCAAGCTTTAACTCTTCAATTCAGAGCAAATAGGTTTTCATGAAGAAAAAAACTAATATTCTTCCTCATTTTCAACAAAATACTCTTGATAATTGGGGACTGAGTTATTAATTCCGGATAGTACAGCGGTGCGTCCGATCCCTAAAAGTGGATTTTTTTTTTAAATAACCACTTTTTTCAAAAAAAATTCTCAAAAAATCTCATTTTCAAAAATTTTATCAAAATGACCACTTTTCAAACAAAAAAATTTCGCCACACAGAAGAGTAGCCACTTTGTGTAGCGTATGCACTCAATTTAAAGAGGAGACGCCACACTACATGGCTTGTCCTCCTCTGTAAAGTCATACAGTGTGGCGCATGCATGTGTTTTTGAGAGGAGGCACCACCCACCTTGGCTTGACAGTGTAATTGCAATTTTCTATAAATACAACCACCCATCCTCTTTATTTTTCCACACCATTTATTACATAACTCTTAGAAAATGTCTTCAACTCCCTTGCCAAAGTTTTCACTGATCAAAAGAGATGTGCATGTTATTTTCTCAGCGACAAAGCCTCCGGTGAAGATCAAACTCTAGAACACACATACGTTCGAGCATTTTCAAAGGCATTTGATTCGCTGGTTAGAAGGAGACATTTGTAACGCCCGTAATTTAATTAATTATTTAATTAAATTATTTTTGGAATATTTAAGAAGTTGTATTATAATTAATTGGATTTATTTTATTAAGTGGAGAAATAATATTAGAGATATAATATTATGTGGTGAAATAATATTAGAAGTGTAATATTATTTAATGTGGACTTATTTTGAAGGAATAGAAGTAATAAGGGTGTGTGTTGGTTTTAAGCCCAATAAGGAGATAATAGAATAATAGGACTATTTTATTATTTATTGTTAGAATAGAAAGAAAGAAGCAGTAGAAAGAATAAGGATCGAGAAAGAACGTGCAAGCTGCTAGAGAAAGTGGAGAACGACAAGCACGAGAATTCAACCAGAAATTGTAGAGCGGCCTTCAATCTAAGGTAAGGGTGAGGTTCTGAATCTATAATTTGGTTTATGATAATTGGTATGTGGGTTAGTGGTGATTGTTGTCTTGTTCTTGAATGGAGAATATATGATTGATGTATGATGAGATTGATGAATTTTGATGAATATTGATGTTTTGATGTTGTTAAAACGCTGTAGAATTATAAGGTAATTATGGGTGATGAATTGTCATGATTAGATTAAATTTTAAGGCTTTAGGTATGAACCCGTAGTGATAAGTGTGACACCCCAAATAATTCGATTATTAAATAATTAGAATTTTTAATTATTAATTTAATTGGAAATTTAATTATTGGTATTTTTGGATTATTGGAATTAATTTAATTAATTAAAGGAAAGAAGTATTGGTGGTGTGAAGAGTGATTAGAGGGTGTGAGGGGTAAAATACTCTACTCTTACTAATTACTAATTTAATTATTTTATTGGAATAATAAAAGGAGTATTAAAAGGAAAAAAGAAGAGAAAGAGAATTATTTTGGAATATTCATCATACGTGCATTTGAGAAGAGGAAAAAGAAGGAGAAAATCGGAAGCGTCAGAATTCGAAGAACCCACAAGGTAAGGGGTGATTTCGATTAGTTAATTCGTATTATCGGTTTAGATATTCAATAGTATGGATCATAGTATGTTAGGGAATCCCGGTTTGGAATTCTAGGGTTCCGTAGAATTGTCCCTATTGCGTTGAATTGTAGGTTGAAAACCATTAGGGTGTCAGATGATAAAAAGGAATGATGAAATAATGTTGTTTGATGTTATAATGGTGCAAAATGGATGTGTTTTGGTGTTTCTCATGTTGCAATTCGTATGGGTATGTTTGGAATTGGTTTAGAATGAATAAATATTGTCAAAAGTGCAGAATTTGACTCTGCAGGTCGTGGGAACCGGTTTCCAGTGGGGAGGAACCGGGTTCCACTGTGTGAATTTATAAAAACTGGCAAAAATGCACGTAGGAACCGGTTCCTGTATAGGTAAGAACCGGGTTCCCATACATTTTTTCAGAAGCGTGATTTTTGAACTTCGCAGGAACCGGTTCCTGCATATGTAGGAACCGGGTTCTGCTGTAACTTTTTGAAAAATATTAAACTTTGAAAATTCATAACTTTCAAACCGTAAGTCCGTTTTGAGTGCCGTTTTGGACGTTATTTCTTAAATTTAATGCTCTATTTTATAAAATGAAAAGATTTCCTAAAACCTGAAATTATTTTGAAAATGAGTCAAATCCCGGAATAAGTGATTATTGGCTAACGCACATGGGTGTGTATGTAGCAGTGAACCTGTGATGGATGGATGTATTAGTATTGTGTGAATGAAAGGCATGTTTATGTTGCTAATGATGGTGTGCATGATCGTTGAGATATCATGTTTTTGGTTTTGGTTCAGTTATGATAAATTGATGTATTTCATAGACTGATTTGATGTTGCATGCTAGTGATGTGCGTGCATATGTATTGTTTTGGTGAAGTTAATTCCCATTGTGTGGAATTTGACTTGTATTACCGTTAACCGATACTCGGGTGATGATGGGTGGTTAGGCTGGATTCGTGTCCGGGTGTTTATGGACGAATCGATGGTTGCTGTATCCGGTTGATGATGGATCAGTGTTGGGTGACTTGGTCACGTGTTGGTACCATATGCATTGTGTCTGCATTTGTGTTTGCATGGAATTGTAACATGTTAGGACGTCTTCCACTGTTACAATTCTTTGGTTGATTATTGATTTGTGCATAATGACTTGTATGATTGGAACTGCGTGTTGAACCTGAATTTATGCTAAAATGGGTGAAATAATATGCTTGTGATATAATGTTGATTGAGAAGCTTATAATGCATGTTAATTATGAGAAATCTCACCCTTACTTTAACAATTTCAGATTAAAGTTAGCAGCTCAGGAGTTGGTGAGGATGGCTCTAGAGCTATGTTACTTTAAGTCCGCGTGTCAGTGTCGTGCTCTGATAGGTTGTAACACTGGGGAACGTTTAGTTGAGGAATTAGTTATTATTCAATTGTTTCTTTGAATTTCATTGAGAATAATTATGTTTTGGTTTATTCCGTTTTGGTTATGGTATTTTTCCGCTGTGTAAGACATGGTCTTAAGTTGATTGAATTATTTGAATAATGACCCTCAGTGTAGCATGACTACTATTTTATTGGAAGTTTTATTTATTTCATAATTGTGACATCCCTTGTTCCGTGTTAACTCTGATGGAATATGTCTTTAATCATTGATATAATTAATATTATTCGGGGTATTTTAGAAGGGGTGTTACAATAGTGGTATCAGAGCATAGTCGGTCTTGTCTTGTGTCGTTATCCCTTTTGTATGTGACTAGTGTAAGATGACACTGTCGATACTTGTGTGTTGATGAGGTTGTTTTGTAATGTTACGGAACAATGGCCGGAAGAGGTAACGGAAGAAACAATGATGCTATTGCTGAAGCATTGGGAATGTTGGCTGGAGTACTCGGAGGGAACCAGCAGGGAGCTGTGATTGGTGCTGACCGACAATTGGGGAATTTTCAGAGGAATAATCCTCCGTTGTTCAAGAGTGCACATGGTCCCGAAGGTGCTCAGAAGTGGTTGAAGGAGATCGAGAGGATCTTCAGAGTAATTGACTGTGCTGAAGGGATGAAGGTGAGATACAGAACTCACATGTTAGCAGAGGAAGATGATGACTGGTGGGTTGCTACCAGAACTGAAATGGAAGAAGATGGTATTGCGTTGACTTGGGCTGTGTTCAGGAGGGCTTTTCTGAGGAGGTACTTTCCTGAGGACATCAGAGGCAAGAAGGAGATTGAGTTTCTGGAACTCAAGCAGGGTAACAAGACTGTCAGTGAGTATGCTTCGAAGTTTATTGAGTTAGCGAAGTATTATGCTCATTATACTAACGATGCAGATGGAGAATTTTCAAAATGTATCAAGTTTGAGAATGGTCTTCGTGATGAGATTAAGTAGGGTATTCGATATCAGCATATCCGAAGATTTCCTGATCTGGTTGACTGTAGTAGGATTTTAGAGGAGGATCTTGCTAGCACTAAGTC